GGACTTTGGCCAATAAGGAGTTAGTCAGTGTCGTGTGGAAGATGGAGTGAGAGCCTGGAATGGGGAGCCTGGGAGGGGGCTGATGTAGGGGCCTACCTACAGGCAGGTGCTGGACAGGAGGATCTCTCTACCTCAAACATCCCCTGAGAGAGGACAGCTTTGAAAGCAGGGATGGAGTCAGCCTATCGTAAGGCCTGGAAGCAGCCATCAACCAAAGTAGTTTACAGGAGAGGAACAGTGAGTGATCCTACACCCCCTGGGCAGTCAGGTGGGAAACCCAACTAGCTCCTCACCTGGGACTGGTTTACGAAAATGGCAGATTCTGGGTCCCCTTGCCCTGGGATTCCCTCAGGCAGCTGGGTGAAGACGAGAATTCATCTGGGGTCTGAGGTGGTACACCAGGAGGGCTGGAGAGCTCTCAGAGAAGATAATTCTTTGTTTTTGGACTTGTACATATTTGCTAAGAAGGTGTCCTTATTATGTTTTCTTGGGCATCCCATACACCATTCAAGCTCATCCAAGTTCAGTACCCCTTAATAAAAAAAAAAGAAACAAGCTCAAGGACTACTTACTGTCTCCCGTGTGCAAGTGTGGAAGAAAATGTGTGTTGCCTGGCTGTGAAGGACTATTGGGGGACCCACAAACTCAGCAACTCCTGAGGAGGTAGTGCTGCGCCATCATATGGGAGGTCAGTTAGCCACAGCTCAAAGAACCCCTAGCAATCTCTTGAGGAACCTTGGTTGAGAATAATAAAGCTTTTCATACTCAGCCACTTCCCAGTAGAAAGAACATCATCTGAACAAAGGTTTTCCTTGGCAAAGCTCTTCTATATCTCATAGTTTTGGTACACCTTATCTTGGCACCTGTCCATTTACGTGCCTGTTAGAAGTTGCACATGTACCTGAAGGTTAATCAACAAAAAATTTCATCTTGGCACTGATCTTCTTGGATAAAAATAAAAACTTTACCTTATATACACTCTAAACATAGAAAAGCAAACGACTTGGTAATGCTAACTTCTTTACACTTCTTAATCTAAGCTAAATCTTTGCCACATATGAATCAGATCCCTTCTCCCATCTCAAATACCATTTTTTTTGCAACAAACTTCTTTGAAGAAAAATATGTAATCATCCTTTATATTTCAATGCACCAAATGTGACTTTTTCTCTTGGACCGCTTATCTGCATTTAACAAAGTTGACCACCTTCTATTGCAAACTATACATTGTTCTTTTTTTTGTCATATGCTTAATTCACACTCCCAAGAAAACATGTACTCTTCTCTGTTGGCATTCTTTACAAATGTATATCTTGCTTAGATCTCCCCACTGTTATGGGCACCTGATTATCATACCTATATGAGCTTGTTGGATATTCAATTCTGAAACCATGGACATTAATATGGAGCCCCACCACCACCACCATCCTTGTAGCTATATCAACCTCTATCCTACTTTGGAGGCTTTCCACATGATTTTGGAGCGTCTGTGCCCATTAAGCCAATAGAGAATTTGTGATGTTAGGTACTGATGTTTGCCAAGAAGACTCGGACCTCCATCGCATTCCAACTCATCCCAAAGATGTTTAGTAGGGTTGAGGCCACCTGAGCTTGTTCATACTAGACTCATTTGCGAGCCAGGTCTTCTTTTTTTTGTCTTTATAGAGCTGTTTTAGTGCTGTTATTTGTTTTAGCAAGCAACCAGCTCAAATCTAACTGTCTAAACCAGGGTCCTGTGGGGCTCTAGGGTTCCTCCACAGGTTGCTATGGGACCTCCCATCAGAGTGTGCATGTATAGTTCTAGGGCCAGCTGTATGACACCAGCAATGTTTTTAACTGTCTGTAGGGGTGGCATTCTGACATCCGCTATAAGGGGGTCATTCATTCTTCCTTTTGACTACCAATGTAAGAGGCCTTTTTCTCCACAGGTTAGCATATTTTCCATTGAACCCCAATGAATTCGGTTCAGTAAGGGTTTCCTGAGACCTTAATACTATTTAAGGGATTCTTTTGAGTTAAAAAGGATGAGAAATCTCAACTAAACTGTCGCTGTGTGTTGTACCCTTCAACATTAAGCCCTGGTTTACATACAGTTGCAAGAAAAAGTATGTGAACCCCTTGGGATTACGTGGAGTTTTGTATGAATTGGGCATAAAATGTGCTCTGAACGTCATCTAAGTCACAACAATAGAAGAACACAGTCTGCTGAACATAATACTACACAAACATTAGATGTTGCCATGGTTTAATTACACATAACATGTAAATATTCACAGTGCAGGGAGGAAAAAGAATGTGAACCTTTGGACTTAATAACTGGTTGACCATCCTTTGGCAGCAGTAACCTCAACCAAACGTTTCCTGTAGTTGCAGATCTCCTTTAAAGTATAAGTTCACCTTTGGAACATCTTATATCTTACACCCTTTTTTAGGGTGAAACATGTAACATGCCCCATAGCTGCAGCCACGCCAGCCGCCCCACCCCTCCCTCTCCCTGTGATGGATAGTATGAGAAGTTTCCCCATGTTATCCATCAAATTAGAAAACAAAGCAGCCATGCGGGGCTCTGCCCACACATGCTTTGATCAAAGCCTGTTAATCAGGTATGGGCCAGCCACACACTGCTGAACTTTACAAATTTCAATCTGCTTTGGACCCAGACAAAAATTTAAATTCCAACAATAGTAAAAATCTTCTGTTGCAGTGGGGCTATCCCCGTACTGCAAAGGTTAAATGCACAGGATGGACAGGAAAAGCAGTTCTAGTTGCCCGATCCTCTGCTACCCCAGCAGACGGCTCTCCCCTATGCTCCAGCTGTGGACTATTCCTTGGCATCCTCACATCCATTAAAGAGCCATTGGCCTTACCTCAGTCTTGATGACATCAGAGGGCATCGGACCACCACAGCATAGGGGAGAAGAGGCTGTGGGAACAGTCATAGTAGCACTGAGGAGCCTTCAGCAGTAGAGGATCAGGCAAGTAAAATTACTTTCCTAGTTCTTTGGATGTAAATGCACATTTAATCTTTGCAGTACAGTGAACAAGGGAGGATTTTGACTTTAAATTAAATCAATCCACACTACTGCCATTGCTCTAAAATCTTTGTTTTATTAAATCGACCACAGTAAAAACATCACAGGTACAAAGGTTGACGCGTTTCGGCTCAACAAGCTTTAGCCATAATTCATGTAGCACCTTCTTTTCTTTTTTCATTTGAAGGATTTTGACTTTCCCTGGACTAGCCACACAACAGTAAACTTTTTTCACCTCTGAATTATGACATTTGTTATTTTTTAGTAGTGGTAAAAAAAGGCACTTGTGGAATTATCCATTCATTTTTCTACATAATAATTCTTCATGATCATCGTAACACAGGGGGCATGGCAGGGGTGTATCCTTTGCCTACATGGTTTGATCTACAGGATGTCCTCCTTTCCCGTCTCTCCCAAGTTCCGAGCTATGGTCTAAACATGGTCTGTGACTTTTTAGATAGTAAAGACAGGATCAGGATGACGGCACCTTTTAAACAACCCAAATCCGTAATGCGGTGCTCTACATGAATGTATTATTATGGGTTTATATATGCTTTTTCTTCCTTTTGGATCTCTTTTTTATATCTCATCCTTTTGTTTATCCAGGCTAGGTATGATGATATATAAATTTGTCAATGATGATATCTTGCAAAGGATACATGATATGTGTTTGAATAAAAAGTCATTCACTGTAGCTTAGGGTGTGGTTGCTATTATCCCTATTTCCAAGACCCCTGGTTCACATATGAGCGGGTGGTGCCGCTGCGGATCCGCACAAAAATCCGTGTAGCCGCACCACCCACACAGAAGAATGTGGACCCGTGGGCGGTGCCAATAATTCTAATGGCAAACCGCCCACACTGGAAATCGCAACTGCACTGGGAACTGAGGTTCCCGTGCGGGCTGCGGTTTCCAAAGAAGTGCAGGGACTTCTTCCCTGCGTGTCCCGGGGCACGGGAGTCCATTCAAATGAATGGGCTCTCGTGTCCACGCAAATTGCGGCCCGCACGGACGCATATATGTGAACCGGGGGTAATAGAGAGAACTACATCTTACATTTAGTGGGATTTTGAAGGCAACCTTGGAGTGCACACAAAGAAACCAATTATTTAAAACATCAACATTTTATTTAAACAAATTTCTTTTGTTTGGCAAATCGGCACATATCGGGTAGACATTGCATATAAACCAATATAAAATACAACAGTTTTAACTCATTCACCTAACTTAAAATTATAGTTGTTGCAATATGTATCCAGTGGTATCCCCCAAAGCTGATTTCCATCTTGCAACCTCAAGGTTTGACTGCAGATATATTCAGCCTGGGCAGGAGCGGACTGACCATTCGAGCACTCGGGCACTGCCCAAGGGCCCGGGGTCAGTAGGGGGCCCCATGAAATGCCCCTGGTACCTTTTATAGGCTTTTTTGGGGTGTGCTTTGAGTGTGGGCAAGGACACAGGGGCCTCATGGTCCCCTATTGCCTGCTGGCCTCAGGAGTTGTCAGCCCGCCCCTGAGCCTGGGATAAAAATGATATGTGTTTGTGTATATTTGAATATTTTTGGTAATTTATATGATGATTTATTTGTATATATTGTTATGGCGTTTACATATAGAAATTCGAGGCTTTGGTGAAACGGGTTGTCCCTCAAAATGCATCGACCTTTACAAATTGATCTCAAGGCCATATGAACTTCAGATGACTAACTTGAATATATGTTTTTAAAGTTTTTTTTAAATATTTGAAATTTGTGGAATAAAGTATTCATATTTTTTTATATTTTCATTGATTGTTTATATTGTACCATTGGAGATATGTATATAAAGTACATTAGTATAACTGAATCTGTAATAGCAGCTCTAATGTATTGTCCCTTTAATGCATAATTCTAGTGAGTGGACACCTATGACATGAGACACCACACCCATCCAGAGCTTTGAGCAGTTTTAGAATCATGCAGATGCCTTGTGGATGAAGTCAGCTGCCCAAATGAAAAGCATGGTGAGTAGCAATCATACTTCCCTTACAGTACACTAAAAGTTAACTGCTTGTTGTTTTCCCGAAGATTTCTCTGCAGATGCTAGTTCTCCTTAGTAGAGAAAATAATTTACAGAGAGCGGTAATAGAAAAAAAGACAAAGTCATAGTTAACGTTTTTTTTAATGTGGGTGGAAAGGCTCGGAGAGATCCTTGGAACAAGTTGGAAGGATGAGTCGTAATACTGCATACTTCACTTTAATTTGATGGACTGTGCTTGGAGCTTTCTAGTGCTGGAAATTTTTGAGATTCTCTGGCAAAGGGGAATCTCCCGAGCCTGTTTGTGAAAGGGGAGGGGGGTTCTGATTTTTTTTCCCTAGGCTCCTTAGAAATAACAATACACAAGGGAAGCAACCGATGCGCTTTCAGTGGCAGACAGGGGTGACACAGCAGACTGTAAGAATTTTTCACCAATGTAATAAAATGGATGGATGGATGAGTATTTTATGTTTTGTCATATTGTTTACCTTCTAAGATATTCATTTGATTTAGATGTTGTATTAAATACTAAAAGGCGTAATTGAAGGATAACGTTACAAAATTGAAGGCAAAAAAGGAAAGGGGTTAAATTGTTTCAGTTATTTAGCTTCTTCCTCTGTAAGATAATTATGAGTTAACCACTTGCCCTCTAGAGGATTTACACATCCCCCCCCTCCCCTTCATGACCAGGCCATTTTTTGCGGTACGGTGCTGCATTACTTTAACTGACAATTGCGCGGTCATGCAACGCTGCACCCAAATGAAATTTACGTCCTTTTCACCCGGGGCAGCAAGGCGGCTAAATGGTTAGGACTTCCGCCTGGTAGTACTAGGGTCATTGGTTCAAATCCCAGCCACGGCACCACCTGCCTGGAGTTTGCATGTTCTCCCTGTGACTGCGTGGGTTTCCTACGGGTACTCCGGTTTCCTCCCACAGTCCAAAGACATGCTGCTAGGTTAATTGGCTCCTGTCTAAATTGTCCCTAGTATGTGTGTGTGTATGAATGTGAGTTAGGGACTTTAGATTGTATGCCCCTTGAGGGTTAGGGACTGATATGAATGTACAATATATGTATGTAAAGCGCTGCGTAAATTGACAGCGCTATATAAGTACCTGAAATAAATAAAATTAATTGAGCTTTCTTTTGATGGTATTTGATTGCCTGTGCGTTTTTTTTTAATTTTTTCCACTATAAAAAAAAAAGACCAACAAATTTGAGAATAAAAACAATATTTTTGACTTTTTTTCTATTAAACATGTCCAGTAAAAAATAATTAAAAAAATCAAATTTCATCACAAATTTAAGCCAAAATGTATTCTGTGACATGTCTTTGCTAAAAGAAAAATCCCAATACATGTAAATTAATTGGTTTACGTGAAAGTTATAACGTTTAAAAATGGCGGTATATATACTGGAATTTTGTTTCTTACTAGTAATGGTGGTGATCAGCGACTTATAGCGGGCATTCTGCCCCCTGCCCGAAAATACAAAATCAAGTTTATATACGTGATTCTGAGCACCCCTGCCGCCCTGCAGCAGTATATCTGCTATAGGGGGGTCAGGATGTAGTTAAAGTGGCATTAAAACCAAAAGTGAACATGTATCATATTGCAGCTTACAAATTCATTGATGTGATGGCTGCATTGGTTTTCTTTTTTAAGCTTTTTCAATTTTTAACTGGTGAATCCCCGCTAGTGAGTCTGTTTTACAAAAAAAACAAGCTGTCCTGCAAATGTAGCAGTTACAGGGATGAGGCAAACCATGTAACACTGGCAGGGGTGCTTACCATGATCAGCTTTTATTTATGTAAAACCTTTATCCCAAATGAAAATAAGCTGTTTGCTGTAACTGCTTATAAAGTATTAGCCGGAGTTTGGCTTCAGTTTGTTAGTGTATTTAAATCTGCTAATACATCTAACTCTTCCCTGCTGCCCAGTCTGTGACAATACTGCTGTCCATAGGTGCCCCCTGTGCTCCTTCATCCAGAGTGGGGGTGCTCTAATACAGGAGGTGTGTTACTGGCCAGATCACCAGGTGAAAACGGGGGGGAAGCCTAAGAGAAGAAAACAGCAATCACATCTAGTTGTTGGTAAACTGCAATAAATTACATTATTTCCTTGGATTTATACTACTTAATTGCAATGGTATATCTGGGACCTGAGGTACCAAGGTGCAGACAAAAGCGATATCGTTTTCAAAAAAAGTGGGTGTAACCATGCCACACCTGACCAAGAAAATGTTCCAAGAAAATAAAGTGTATGAAAACATAAACAGTTGAACAGAGTTGGCAGCACTAATATGTAAAACAGTTATGTAAACACATAACCAGGTGTGTCCTCCCAAAAAAATGAAAAAATAAAAAAAAACAATGGGGTTACATCACCATGAGCATAACCTACTGCTGCATCAAAAATAACTGCAGGCACTGCGCTGTAGCCACTTTGTAGTTTATATTTAAATAAAAATAATAAAAAGAAAAAAAAATAGGTAGAATATTTTTATAAAGCAGTGAATGGGGCTTTTACCAAACATTCACTGGTGGTGATTCAATCACTGTTGTTTAACCTCCCTGGCGGTCTGATTATTTCAGATTTTTTGTGCTGAAAGCGGTACCATTATTTTGCATGGAAATATGTAGTTTTTTTTTTATTGTAGGCCTGTAATTTTTAGGAATAACTCACTGAAATCTGTCCGAACAAGAGTCTAGTAAAACATCCCGGGTATGATAAAATTTGAAACACGAAATCATAAATTATAATTTAATAAATAATCATAAAAATAATATAATAATAATACATTTAATTCAATAATATAATCAAACCAAAAACACTGAAAATTTGAAATAGAGCGCCAAGTTCACACATCACTGAGCAAAGTCGCAAAATCGTTTTCAGTGTCTGATGACGAATTTCCCCACGAATCATCACTCAATTCTGCAAGTGGTTCTGATTTACTATCGCTGTTCTCTAGCTGATCTAAATCCGCTTTTTTAAAATTTCCTGCCGCCGGCGGCGCGCCCGTACGTCCCGACGTCCCGACGTCACAGGGACCGGAATACAGAAGCCGGATGCCGGCATCAGCCGGAGGAGATGGCCCGGGGACGCTGCAGGGGGCACATCGCGGGAGCGAAGGACAAGGTAAGCTCTGCAGGGACTCCCTATGCAGCGCCGCATGATAAGCTTGAGTGTAGCTCGGGGTTACCGCTTTTGGTACAGACATTTTACCCCGAGCTACACTCAGGAATACCGCCAGGGAGGTTAACCACTCGCCCTCCGTAGGATTTACCCCCCTTCCTGACCAGGCCATTTTTTGCGTTACGGCGCTGCGTTACATTAACTGACAATTGCACGGTTTTGCAATGCCGCGCCCAAATGAAATTTGCGTTCTTTTTTTCCCATGAATTGAGCTTTCTTTCGGTAGTATTTGATCGCCTGTGCGGTTTTTTTTTTATTTTTTTTGCGCTATAAAAGCAAAAAAGACCAGCAATTTTGAGAAAAAAACTATATTTCGGACTGTTTGCTAGTAAACATGTCCAGTAAAAAAAATGTGAATGTTCAGTAAATGGCACATTTAAAACTTTAACCCCTTCACGCCTAAGGGTAAAACAAATCTAAATGCCTCAGCACAAATTTGCACCGTTGACGTGTGTTAGTAACTATTTTGTACATCCAGGTGAATTATACCACATTTTTTTAAGGGTAAATTGGGCTTTCATTTGGTGGTAAATGGTAATGGATATCTCCTGATTTTTTTTTTATTATTATTATCAAAGGAAAATTGGCCCAAAATAGTAAAAAAAAATCATTTTTTTTCATTTAGCTGTGTGTTTCTTTTTACTACATAACCTACCACCAAAGAACAACCCAAAATAAAATTTCCAGCTATTGACGATCGCAGCGATACCATATATGTGTGTTATTTATTGTTTGTACCCGTAGTACTGCCCAGAAATAATAGTGCACATTTTTTTTTTTTTTTTCCCTGAAACACAATGACACCAACACCAAATCCTGACCTTTGACTCTGACCTTTTGACCTTGAACTTTGACCATGACCTTGACCCAAACACTTACCCTGGCACTGAACTAGATCAAACCTTGATTTAGGTATTTTCTCTTATTCTTTTATTCTTTTTAATATTTATTTTTTTTCTTTTTTTTACAAACATTTTTTTCCTCCTCTATGCCAGGAGTTAGAGAGATAAAATGTATCTCTCTCTTCCATTCATAGAGAGAAAAAAAAAACACAAGGGGGCGGGCTGTACAGTGACTGATCACTGTGATAGCCAATCAGAGGGTATCACAGCAATTATGTGACCCGAAATCAGGAGTCTCGGGTCCCGATCGTTAGAACGGGACTCGGGGCTCTCAGTGACACCCCGGTCTTTGTGCTGGGATCGTGTTGTGCGGCACGCTCCCAGCAGAAAGACAGGTATGCAAATATGCGGCCCCACGGAAAAGAGCCCAGTTCTGTGAAGCCGCATATTTGTGTTACGTCGGCGTGAAGGGGTTAAGAATAAGCCCCAAAGGGAGGGAAACCCAAACTGTAGAGTTGTCATTACAGCAAAAGGTGAGGGCAAAAATCTCCAATGGAAACATATGTTTCTATGACAAATCTCCAAGATGGGGATTTCTAGAGATTCCTTCACTATGCATTTAGCTACCTCTGCATCTGTGGCTAACTTCAAAAAGAAGTTCATTAACCACTTCAATACCGGGCACTTATACCCTCTTCCTGCTCAGGCCAATTTTCAGCTTTCAGCACTGTAGTACTTTGACAATTGTGCGATCATGCAACACTGTACCCATATGAAATTTTTATCATTTTGTAAACACAAATATAGCCTTCTTTTGGTGGTATTTAATCACCACTGAGTTTATTTTTTGCTAAATAAAACAAAAAACACCTGAAACTTTTAAAAAGAAACACACTTTTCTTCGTTTCTGTTATAAAATTTCGCAAATAACATTTCTTCATAAATTTA